GCTTTCGGAGATTGACTCTGTTTTACCCAAATCATCCGATAAATCTCGCTTATCATCCTTATCATACAACGATCTCAAGAAATTAAAATATTGTGAAGCCATAATCAAGGAGGCTAGTCGTTTAAGGCCAGCGGTACCTTTTACCTTCCGTCACACCACTACTGAGTGTGAAATTGCAGGATATAAATGGTCAGCTGGTACAGATTTTCACTTGAATTTCAAAGGAGCACACATTCACCCCGGGTTTTGGGATAATCCTCAAGTTTTTGATCCGGAAAAGTTTTATGACACCGATACCAATAATGATAGAACTGCTTGGATGCCGTTTGGTGGGGGTAGACGTATATGCCCTGGAAAAAATTTGGCAACGACCGAATTACTTTTGCTAATGTTTTCGGTATATAAAAACTATGATGTTGAGTTAGCGAATGAGCATGAGCCATTGAAAGTTCATACTCAACTGATTTCTACCTGTACGGAGTTGAAAGTTAGAATTCGCCCCCGAGCTTAATTAGTTTTAAGAATTTCTATTTTTTCTTTTTGTCACTTATATTATTGAATAGATAAAGGCATTATTACCAGGTTACCAAGTACAGTATGCCGTGGTTATTTAATCATCCGATGGTAATTTCTATTTGTGAAGGTAACTTGACTTTTAATAGAGCTACCATTTACATTCAGTCGAGTGTGAGCATTTACATGGTACAACTACAGTATTGCATAAATATTTTTATTATCATATTCAGTAATAGCCTCGATAAAACGAAGCCCTTATGCCCATGATTTTTTATGGATAATAATTACAGCTATTCCGTATGTTACACCAAGTGTTAATAAAAGGAAGCCGATCCACCAAAAAGTTAGACATTTTATGATTATTTGGGATGACTGCAGGTCATTTTTTCCGAACATGCTACATGATTTAATGGATGTTTGCTTTATGAATTGAGTCGTAGAATCCACGGGAAATAGAGAGATACAAAGATTCAACGAACAAAATCATTTCTTCTAGCCGACTTTGAAAACCCATTGATCACATAAGCATTAACTTACAAAACACAAGATTAAATATTAATGATGTAATTATTGGCACCAATATACAGTATGTTGAAATGCGCATTTTTTTTTAAAAAAAATTTTAGATATAGTGTTTAAATGATCATCAAAACAGAAGATAATTATATGTTGATATACTGTACAGTAGATAAACCAAGGATAGGATTTCGACCCCTACTGATATCAAAAAAGCTTTAACGAGCAATCCTATTTCAAATTCGCATAATTTCAGAATTTCATTTGAAACTTTGGATTCAGGCTTCATCCATAGTGATAGTTTACAAAGTTATCGTTTCCTAGACAATGATGAGTTAGTCATTATGTGAAAAATCTATAATATTATAAATAATTATATAAACTTCTCAATAAAGATTAAACTACAGTATGTAACATGGTTGCAGAGTAAAAAAAAGTAAATATTTGTAGAGTTTTTGCATTTGTAAATGTTAATTTGATCTTATAATATATAGTATATAACTTTAATTAATATTAACTAGAGTAACCATTAGTAATATATATATATATTTTCTTTAATTTGTTTAATAATTGTTTAGGTTAATCTATTTTTTTATTTTTATAGAAATAATTATAAACTTTTCACCTTTTTTTTTTTTAATCTTATTAAAATATTATAATATATTTTCTTTTTCTTCAAAACTAAATGTTATCTAGATATTATTATTTTTTGATAAGCCTAATATTTTTTAGAAATATATTGGTTATTTATTTTCAAATTTCTCTAAATGTTTAAATATAAAAACATTTATTTTATTTTTGTTATTTTTGTAATATCAAATGGATCAATACTAGATATTTTTTATTTGTTTCTTATATTGTAAACATATTATTCTATAATATTTTTTTCTTATTTTATTTTATTTTTCAAATTCTATTTCTGTTTCTATTTCATTATTATTAAAAATTTCTATAGTTATAATCAATTGAAATTTATGAGCATTGTTTTATTAAGTAGTTATTTAAATTATTTTAAATTATTTTTTTTTTTTTAATTCTTTGTCAAGCTAGATATATATACTTTATTAAATATTTACTATTTAAAGAAATTTAAAAATCAAGCAAAGACTAATTTATTATATGTATATAAATATAATATAAAATTAAAATTATTTATTTAATTTTAATAATATTAGGAATTACAACTAATAATACTATAAACAATCTTTATATATTAAATTAATAGAAGAATAGAATAAAACTCAATCAATTTCTTTTTAATGCAATAAAAAACTATTCGTAATATTTGTATATATTATTAATTTAAGTATATAAGAAGTTTTAAATATATTAGAGAAAAGTAAGTTTATATTACTTTTTATATTTACTAATTTATTTATATATAGTTATGAAAACTAATTATAAAAATATGATCATGGAAACTTAGTAAAA